TATTCTAATTTGTTGAGATAGTGAATTGGTGGGTTTTTGTTAAATGTGAGCCAAAATCATCACAATTAAAAGAACCAAAGACTTAAACTACTTCAGTCTGTGTGCATTGAATTTATTTAATACACGAGTTTCACAATTTTAGTTGAATTACTGAAATAAATGAACTTTTCCACGATATTCTAATTTATTGAGATGCACCTGTATATTTAGAGTTACGGTTATGACTGTCGATGGTTATTAATAATGCATGGATAAGCAGCTCTTTTCAGGTGCCTTTAACTATCTATATACAAACATATAACAAGAGATAAGATCAACCAATTTGCATGAAGAATTACTGACATTTACAAAGGTATTAATGTAACAAGCAAGAACACACTGTCACACGTGTATCAGCAGTCAGGAGACACACACCCAGGTCCCAGCAGTGTTTAAATAGATGGAATCTATGAGAGGCTGCCCTTTACTGCCACCGACCAGAGGTCGTTCTGACCTCTCTCTCTGTCTCTCTCCTACTCTCCTAGTGATTAGCATTATAAACCACAAGACAAAAATACCCAAGAGAGGCTGCGAGACTTCAGACATCCAGAGAGACATTATTTGTAAGACGCTGGTCTAATTTTGAAGAACATCTCCAGAGGAAAAACACCACAGAAAGCACAACAATGTCTTTACTGAATAAAAAGACAATAATTAGGAGGTTGCATCATCTCTGTGAAAACAGCAGCTGCAGAAAGAGAGATAGAGGGTGTAAAACCACAGTAAATTACGGGAAACAAATGTGTTTGTTTCTAAAGAACTGGGGGCCAAGCCATTAACACCTGAAACCACAGTCCAGAGGAAGCGGTCATTCTGTTCTCAAACTGTTTGTGCTGGCAAGCAGGTCCGCTAACTCACAACAGGATGTATTCCAGAACTGCATAAAGGCTGGCGGGATCGTTTCACTACGCGGTGGGTCCAGAGGGCTTTTATTCAGAAGAAAAATGGGCCGTCTGTTTGTTGGTGAGTTGGCTGTCTGGCTGGCTCTGAGAGGCTGAGACTGGTTAAGGTGACGTCGTGCTTTTTCTGGTGAAAGTGCTCTCTACTGCGCTGCCCGTGTCATTCTGACATTTTCTCGATGGGGGTAAAAGAGTGCCTAGGAAGAGGGCTTCGTCTCTTCAGCAGCATACTGATAATTGCTTTCTGGTCACCGTAACATGACCAGGATAAATAGAGAGCAAGGTTTAAATGTATTCGCTCTTTGTTTTGCTCCGTTTTTTGCTTTCTTTTGCCTCCATGGCAAGGAAAAATCTATCCACTTCATTTATGAGTCTAGGGCAATGAGTACTTCTCCAAGAACATTTTATACTCTTTCACAGCTCAGAAGACTTAATGGAGTTTTTAGCTGCACTTCATTTATATAGCAATTTTGTCTGAAGTTTTCTAAAAATTCTTGAGAAGAAAAAAATTTAAATAGATACAAATGACACAACTTTTGAGACTATACAGAGGCTGAAAATTAATGGTAATGGCTCAGATCATTTGGTCTGGAAAGAACTAGATGAGAAATGTTCAAAAATGACCAGTTTTGATACACTTACTAAAAACCTTGGGAACAGTAAGATTAATTAAAACAAAACAAAACAAAAACAAAAAAAGTGACAGTAAAGACATTTACAATAATATAAAAGATTTCTATTTTAAAAATGCTGTTCTTTTGATCTTTCTATTCATTTAAGAATTCTCCAAAATATTAAGCAGCAGAACAGATTTCTACATGGATAATAATAAGAAATGGGTCACACTTTATTTCAAGGTCCAAATCTTGAAATTAACAAACCTACGTTTTTTGCTTCAATAAACTACTAATTTGCTCCTTATTAATAGTTAGCAAGGTAGTTGTTAAGTTTAGGTATTGGGTAGGATTAGGGATGTAGAATATGGCCATGCAGAACATGTGCTTTATAAGTACTTATAAACAGCCAATATGTTAATAATAGGCATGCTAATAAGCAACTAGTTAAAAGTGAGAATACTTATAATAAAGTGTTACCAAGAAATGTTTCTTGAGTGCAGAATCAGCATATTAGAATGAGGAATAAATTAGGATGGATGGATGAATATGCACAGACCCCAAACTTTTCAACAGTAGCGAAACTTTTCAAATCCGAGCATAGGCTGCTCATAGTGGAAAAGGGGCTGTTAGTTTGCTGACAAGGGTAACATTACACAAGTGTTAACTGCACCACTGAGAGTTTCAGAGGCTCCATAAAGAAATAGGCAGGTGTTGAGACTCCTACCCCTAAACACCTGCCGAACACAAACATATCAATACACACACTCAACAGCACACAAACACACACTGACAAGAACTGAAAAAGCAAGAGAAACACATAACAGGCATGTCTGGATACAGACAGGGTGTGAGAATGCAACTCTAAAACACCTGTCCAGCATAGACACGTACACACAACACACCAGATGTACATTGATGTCCATGGATGACACAAACGGAGGACAAATGTGGAAAATGAATGCTAAAACTGCTGAGCACCTGACTAGGAAACCTCCACAGCACTATAAAAAAAAATATTATTTTTATTACTATTACTATTGCAATTCTGCTTGGTGCTGCTAATGGAAAAAAAAATACACACTTCACCTTTAAACTGTGGGTATACACACCCTGTATGAGAAACTGGGCTTCTTGGTTTTGGTTCTGCAGTAGTTTCTGGGTCTGGACCTGGTTGTCCAACTGCAGAATCTGTTCTTTTGCTGCATCAAGACATGACTTCAAGTTTGGCACCTCCTCTTGCAGCCTCTTCAGCTCCACCTGCAACCCGACCACTTGCTGCTTCAGACGAGCACACTCTAAAAAAGAATACATTTGCGAAAGTGGTCAGGGAGAGAGGAATTTGCATTTTTTTGCTTGTTTTGTGTGTGTATGTGTGTGTGTGTGTGTGTGTGTGTGTGTGTGTGTGCAAAACAGATTCTTGAGAAAAGTTAATAATGTTAAAAACAAGATGCCCAAGCGTAAACTAATTTGACCTGCTGGAAAGACAAAGGGTTCACTGTGGTGCAGGGTAATCCAGTCAGCATAGTTCCCACCCTCTAAAGCAGACTGTATAATGACACAGTAAACAGGCCATTTGCATGGATGCTGGTAGGCTAGTTTCAGACTATTTGGGGCAAAGCTTAAGTACATAAACACAGTGGGCTAAAATGCATAGAAGCCACAGTTAAAAACATTACTATTATTAGTAGTATTTTAATTATAAAGTGTTGATGCATAGGCCACAAAAATCTAAAATATTAATTATTTCAGCAAGGATGCATTCAATTTATCAAAAGTGACAGAAAATGTATTTGCAATGTTACAAAGGATGTTTTATTTAAAATAAATGCTGTTCCTTTAAGCATTCAATTTATCAAAGAATCCTGAAAAAGGAAAATATATGGTTACACTTCATTGTGATAGTCCACTTTAGACATTCTACTAACTATAAGTTACTTTGCAACTACATGTCAACTAATTCTCATTAATTTGCAACTACATGTCTACTAACTCTTAGAGTAGACTGTTAGGTTAGGTTTAGGGTTAGTAGAATAAGTTGACATATACTTGCAAAGTTTCTTATAGTCATTATGTTGTATGTTGTGGACCCATCAAAATACAGTGTTCGAAGATATTAAGCTGACAGTCTACTAATATTCTAATGACTGCTAGTTGACATGTAGTTGCAAATGTCTAAAGTGGACTATCAAAATAAATTGTTACCAAATATATCACTGTTATAACAAAAATATTAATCAGCACAATTGTTTTAAACAGTGATATAAAATAAAATAAAAACACTGGAAAATACATCAAACATGAATTAAAACAAACTTTTTTAAAAGTAAATCCAAGAAAATGTATTGTACGGTATATTTGTTTAAAGAGTTTGATATACTGTATATGGTTGGATCCATATTTTGTGATGCCTGATAAACTGAAGCTTGATGATCACTGAACTTTCCAACAGGAAAGATGAATGCAATCAATATATTAAGGGTGAAGTGCCCTAATACATTTTGGGGCCACTGTATCACAGATAAAAGTGTGATTTGATCTGATTTACCTCACATACATTATCATCCCATCACTTCAAGTACTTTTTTATGAGGAAATTGTGAATCCATCCACATGAAGTGACTCAAGACTGAAACACATAAGAAATCAATCACCCGAGAAGGTAAGATGCGTAACTCTGAAAAATCTCACGTGCTTGTGCATGGCATAACAAAGATAACAACAAAGCAAATTCTCTGATGGGTGAGAAAATACCAGAGAACTTTTAACAGCAGCGGGTGCAGTAATTCACGTCAACAACGCAGACCAATTAAGTGCTTGCACATAAACAGAGCAGAACACAGAGAGAGAGAGAGAGAGAGAGAGAGAGAGAGAAACACAGAGAGGCTGAGCCTCTGCCTCCTGACTGATGTACTTCGGGTCATGGGGCGGTTACCATCAGCTCTGTTGCATTTGGTCCCAGACCTGCTGTCTCATTCACATGAACACACATTCAAACACATTCAAACCCTACCTGTCTCTCTCAGCTGACTAAGCACCTGAACAGCAGCTGCTAGTGCTGACCCAGCATGGGTTAGGGTTCAATGAATGCTTTGGATCAAACTCGTTAGCATACTACTGCATAATGTGTGTGTAGGGGGTGCAATATAAAGCCCTGCCCTGTGTGAGTGTCTGAACTTGCTTTTGGTTTTCCCAGGCCATTTGACCAGCAGGGACACATCCGTACCAAAGACTACTGAATACTGCCTATACAATTTTGAAAATGAAAGTATTATTTACCTTGGTAAATTTAAGTAAGAGTTATGTGGGTTGTTATCTGGCACCAAACTGTAACCAAATACTTAAGACTGGAAGGGAGATCAAATGTAAAAGTTTAAGATTTGGTCATTGATCGAGCACCAATCTGAAGATTCAAAGTCAGTGTAGTATGTGCACAAGTTAAGTCTTGTTAAGTCTGACACATTTGTTCTGGCACAAACCACAGCAGAAGGTGTGTGCACCTCAAAGTCACTGCGAGGAGGCATTTATACTATGTACTCGGCTGTACTATTCTCTACAGACCACAGGCAGCAGTGTGGAGAAATATCAACCAAACTTTCAAGAAACCTCAGTGAAAAGAAGGATGCGTAAATAATGACAGAAATTGTATTTCTGGGTGAAAAATAAAAATGTTTCCATAAAATTTTGTTCATGGCAGAAGAATGTCTTGCAGGTCAGGGCTGCCACTGCTTTATTTAAATTCCACCAAATATTTCCAATGAGATTTGAATCTGGAAACTGAACAGACCACTCACAAACATTCTACGACCAATCTCTGAACTAAACTCCAGTAGATTTGGATGTATATTTTGTGATGCCTTCGGAGCAAAGACAGAAGCTTGATGATCATTGAACTTTCCAACAGGACGATCATCCCAATCTTTGCCAAAATTGCCTGATACTGATCCATGATATCCTTTATACAGTCAAGATTTCCACTTAGTGCAACAGCAAAGCATCCCCATAACAAGACTGGTCCACCTCCATGTTTGACCATGGAAATGGTGCTCTTCAGCTCATAAGCTTTGCCTTTTTTGCAGACATACCAAGTAGGTAACCATAGTAAGCAATAGGGCTGTGCAATATATCGAAATATCGCAAATGTACATATCGCAATATGCATATCGCTACAGCTTGCAATATTTGGGACCATGTACAAAAAGAAAATCACTCACTGCTCTTACCTAAATAACTTTTGTAGCTTAAATAAGAATCAGTGCATATTGAATTCAAAGAGTAAATACTACTGTGTTTTATTTTTCCTTTTTATTATTCCTATTCCTATTATTCTTATGTTCCTGTGGCTCAGTGGTAGAGCATTGCGTTAGCAGCGCAAAGGTTGTGGGTTCAGTTCCCAGGGAACACACATACTGGTAAAAAATGTATAGCCTGAATGCACTGTAAGTCGCTTTGGATAAAAGCGTCTGCTACATGCATTAATTTTATTTAATTTATTCAGTTCCTAAACTCATGTTAAAATTACATTTTTATGTAATTAATTATAAAACACTACCGTTCACTTTCAGTTGTTGTAGGGGTGCTTTCTTATTAGAATCAGAATCAGAATGAGCTTTATTCACCACTTAAGTGTGCGCAAACACAAGGAATTTGTTGTGGTTTTACAGGAACACTTGGTACATACATACATACAAATAACCATATATATATGACACAAGATAGTTATAGAAGTTCACAGAACTGACTCAGCAACAGCTGAGTAAAACTGTTTCATCTGAGCATGTGGCACTTTAAGCATTATCGTATCGCATATCGAATATCGCATTATTTAATGAGTTATCGCATATCGCATTTTTCTTCAATATCGCACAGCCCTAGTAACCAAGTAGTAACCATAAATTCAAGATTGGTCTTATTACACCATAAAACATCCTTCCAGAACTGCACAGGTCTATCCAAATTCATTTTAGTATACTCACTTCGACATTTTATGTTCCCTTTCAGTCGGTCACTCTCGACGTCACGTCGGATGACCGACGAAATTGGGATCTCGCTTAGAGAGACCAATCTACTTCGAGTGTAAACTAAACGAGCCAATGCACATTGGCATGCGATTATTGCATCCAGCTGCTGCTGATCACAGCGTGAGTATAAGTAGGCAGCCGATGCAGCGTATATTCAGCTTTTCGCTTCAGAGCCGAGCAATCACATCGTTCTGCTCCTGACTACTCTACTGAGAGAAGAAGACTGAACGAGTTCAGTGCACTCTTGGAGAGCTCTTCGTGTTGGCGGTACGGCGCTTCAGCGGTGGTGGTTTCCCGTGTCAAGTGGGTTGCACACATCAGGCTGCACTACCCCCTGTTTGTGTTGCAGATGATTATCTCCCCTGTGTGCCTCAGCATGCTAAAATATTTTCGGGTGCGTCTTTTTAAAGACGACATTGCGTGGCAAACTTGATGTTACGTCTTTGTAAAGACGATGTGGGTCTTGCTATAGACAACGTATCACCCGAGCGTTTCTGGATGCGGTCGTTACCTGGCGCTGGGTGATGGTCACGATCGCTGCCTCATGTGCCTGGGCATGCCTGGGTTCTCCTCCCAGCAACCAGATGTCGATTGCTGCATCGGAGGGTGAGCCAGAGCTTTCTGGAGAGGAAGATTCGGCTGCGCTACTCTCCTCCGGGACTGTAGCAATGCCTGAATTGGATCCAGAAATAATGGCTATGCTTTCCCGGGCCGCCGTAGGGGTAGGGCTCGAGTGGAGGCTTCCATTGTGTCCCGAGCCCTCAAGGTTGCACGATTGGTTCTCGGGGTGGTCCGCGCTGGTTCTCAGCGCC